TCAGGGGGGCACTGATGCGTTTCCAGCCCAGCTGAGAGAGGGAATCTGTCCAGGGTGTCCCGGGTCTGCTCCGGGCACACGTCCGGGCACCAGTTTACCCAGTTTGCCTGGGACAAGATTACTGGGTTGGATGTGATATCTGCTAGGTGATGGTAAACGGTGGTTAAATTTCTGGCTATTGAGGCTAAATCATTTATTTGTCTTTTATTTTATTATCATATAATAAATGAAAGAATGAAAAAGAAAAGAACATATTAAAAGTAGAATATATGGAGAAAATAATACATTAATGGAAAGAAGCTTGATTTGTGTTACTTTTTAAATAAATTGATGCTTATACGTATTTTTTCAGATTTTGTGACTTTTTGACCTCCAGGCGATTTTAAATCAATGGAATGGAAGAAAACAACTAAATATTGACATTAAAGATGCAGAAATTTGGATTTCAGAAGATTTTAGTTCTTGAAACGTATTAATTTAAAAGTGGGAGGCTTTTATTATGAAGGCGGGCAGTAGTCTTAGTTGAACAGTGACGTTCTTCCTGTCGTGCTAAGGGTCAACTGCTCTGTGAAGCTCCTCTGTGCGGTCTCTTCTGCCTCCTTACAGCCGTTGGTTTATTAAAAAAATCTTCTGTTTCCGGCTCGTAAATTATTTCTGTCGCGGTTCCGGAAGTGTCCAGCACAGTTTGGCTCAGGTGTCACAGCGCGTGAAGCTTTTTATTCACCTTACTTTCTGGAAGTTTCAAAGCTAACGTTAGCTCAGCAGCTAGCCACCATTCACCCTCCGCGGAGAGAATCGATCTATAATCATCATCGTCGTCATTATCATGGATCAATCAGGAGTCACAGCGCAGACACCGAAGGTAGGTCCCTCCTCTGCCCGGCTCTCCTGCCGCGGTTATCGGTTAGACTTCAGGGAGCGGCCGCGGCTGCTGTTAGCCGCTCCCAGTGCCACCATGGCGGCTGTTTCCTTTAAAGGCTCGGGTTGCAGATAACACGGGCGGCACCGGGTTAGCACCGAGCTGTGTGTTATTTTAGATAACAGCCTGTCAGCTGGTGGTTAAAGCAGGAGATGAGCTCACCGATGCTTCAGCTCAGACCACAGGCTGGCCGGTTTGACCCGGACTGGACCGGGCCGGGCCAGCCTCTGTGATGACACCTCTAGGTTCCACCTGTTTATCCCGGAAACGTTTCATGAGCCAAAGGTTTAGCTTCACATTGAGTCCGGAGAGTTTCAGCTGTAACATCTCAGTTTTCCTTCGTCAGCTTCAACTATAACATAGTGACGTCACAGAGGGCGATGTGGAGGCTGTCCTGTGATCAGAAAACAAAGTGTTTGTTTTACTGTAAGTAAAACAGACTGAGAAACAGGAAGTGTAGTTATCTGTCTATAACATAATTACTGTGCTGTAGTGACTGCTCATGAGGGG